GACAAACAAACATGGCCGACAAACATGGCTGACAAACAAACATGGCCGAAAAACATGGCTGACAAACAAACATGGCCGACAAACATGGCCGGCAAACAAGGCTGACAAACGTGGCCGACAAACATGGCTGACAAACAAACATGGCTGAGAAACATGGCCGACAAACATGGCTGAGAAACATGGCTGAGAAACATGGCCGACAAACATGGCTGACAAACAAACATGGCTGACAAACGTGGCTGAGAGACATGGCTGACAAACAAACATGGCTGACAAATATGGCTGACAAACATGGTTGACAATTAAACATGGCGGACAAACATGGCCAACAAACATGGCTGAGAAACAAACATGGCTGACAAACATGGCAGATAAACATGGCTGACAAACATGGCTGACAAACATGGCCGACAAACATGGCTGACAAACAAACATGGCTGACAAACATGGCAGATAAACATGGCTGACAAACATGGCTGGCAAAAAATGGCTGACAAACATGGCTGACAAACATGGTGGACAAACATGGCAGACAAACAAACATGGCTGACAAACAAACATGGCCAATGCCACTTCCTGTGATGTCATCACCGGAACTTCCGGTCGAACCAGGAAGTGACCCCGGAAGTGACGCAGGAATTTGGGGCCATTTTGGGGTTTCCTGGCGGGATTTTTGGGGGGATTTTTGGGGTTTTTTTGGGGGGATTTTGGGGAGAATTTTGGGTTTTTTTTGGTGGGATTTTTGGGGATTTTTTTGGGGTCTTTTTGGGGTTTTTTGGGGATTTTTTTGGGGTGATTTTTGGGGTTTTTTTGCGGTGGTTTTTGGGGTATATTTGGGGGTATTTTGGGGTGGTTTTGGGCTATTTTGGGGGGGTTTTGGGGATATTTTTGGGGTATATTTGGGCTATTTTTGGGGGTGATTTTGGGGATATTTTTGGGGTATATTTGGGATATTTTTTGGGTGATTTTGGGCTGGTTTTGGGGTGATTTTGGGGATATTTTTGGGGTGATTTTTGGGCAGTTTTTGGGGTGATTTTGGGCAGTTTTTAGGGTGGTTTTTGGGCAGTTTTTGGGGATATTTTTGGACAGTTTTTGGGGATATTTTTGGGCTGTTTTTGGTCTATTTTTGGGGTGATTTTGGGTGGTTTTTGGGCTGTTTTTGGGGTGATTTTGGGGATATTTTTGGGGTGGTTTTGGGCTACTTTTGGGGATATTTTTGGGGTGATTTTGGGCAGTTTTTAGGGTGGTTTTTGGACAGTTTTTGGGGATGTTTTTGGGCTGTTTTTGGTCTATTTTTGGGGTGATTTTGGGTGGTTTTTGGGCTGTTTTTGGGTGTTTTTTGGGCAGGTTTTGGGGATATTTTTGGGCTGGTTTTGGGGATATTTTTGGGGTGATTTTGGGGATATTTTTGGGGTGGTTTTGGGCAGTTTTTGGGGTGCTGACCCCCGTTTTCCCCCAGCCGCTGAACGGGTCGCTGACGCTGGAGTTGGTGAACGAGAAGTTCTGGAAGCTCAGCAAACCCCTGGAGCTCTTCTACGCCCCCAGCAAGGAGCAGAAATAGCCAAAAACGCCCCAAAAATCCTCCCGGGCACCCCAAAATCCACCTGGGGACCCCAAAACCCACCTGGGATCCCCAAAATCCATCCAGGGACCCAAAAATCCCAACCAGGGACCCCAAAATCCACCTGGGGAACCCAACATTCACCTGGGGAACCCAAAATCCACCTTGGGAGCCCCAAAATCCACATGGGGAACCCAAAATTCACCTGGGATCCCCAAATTCACCTGGGGAACCCAAAATCCACCTGGGAGCCCCAAAATTTACCTGGGGAACCCAAAATTCACCTGGGGAACCCAAAATCCACCTGGGAGCCCCAAAATTTACCTGGGGAACCCAAAATTCACCTGGGGATCCCAAAATTCACCTGGGGAACCCAAAATTCACCCGGGGAACCCAAAATCCACCTGGGGATCCCAAAATTCACCCGGGGAACCCAAAATCCACCTGGGATCCCCAAAATTTACCTGGGGATCCCAAAATTCACCTGGGGATCCCAAAATCCATCTGGGATCCCCAAAATTTACCTGGGGATCCCAAAATTTACCTGGGGATCCCAAAATTCACCTGGGGAACCCAAAATCCACCTTGGGAGCCCCAAAATCCACATGGGGAACCCAAAATTCACCTGGGGATCCCAAAATTCACCTGGGGAACCCAAAACCCACCTGGGGATCCCAAAATTCACCTGGGGATCCCAAAATCCACCTTGGGAGCCCCAAAATCCATCCAGGAACCCAAAATTTACCTGGGGATCCCAAAATTCACCTGGGGAACCCAAAATCCACCTGGGATCCCCAAAATCCATCCAGGGACCCAAAAATCCCAACCAGGGACCCCAAAATCCACCTGGGGAACCCAAAATCCAACTGGGGACCCCAAAATTAATTCTGGGGACCCCAAAATTCTCCAAAATCCATCTGGGGACCCAAAAACCCAACCGGGGACCCCAAAATCCACCAGGGACCCCAAAATTTACCTGGGGATCCCAAAATCCACCTGGGGATCCCGAAATTCATTTGGGGACCCCAAAATCCAACCCAGGGAACCCCAAAATCCACACGGGGATCCCAAAATTCCCCAAAATCCAACCTGGGGACCCCAAAATTCCACCCCGGGGATCCCGAAAATTTCCACCCCGGAGAGCCCAGAACCGCCCCGGGGTCCCCAAAATTCCCTGGGGGTTCCCAAAAATCCCCACGGGAACCCCGAAATTCCATCCTTGGGGTTCCCAAAATTCCCCTGGGGATCCCCAAAAACCCCAAAATTCCCCCAAATTCATTTGGGGATCCCCAAATTCCCACCCAGGGATCCCCAAAATTCCCAAAATTCATTTGGGGATCCCCAAATTCCCACCCAGGGATCCCCAAAATTCATTTGGGGATTCCCAAAATTCCCCTGGGGATCCCCAAAATCCCAAAAATTCCCTTGGGGATCCCCAAAATCCCAAAAATTCCTCTGGGGATCCCCAAAATCCCCTCAGGGCCCCTCCCCCCTCAGCTCCCCGGGGGGGGGGGTCTGGCTCAGATTTTGGGGGAATTTTTGGGAATTTTGGGGAATTTCGGGGTCCCCTGGAGCCTGGGGGGGGTGGGGGACCCCAAATCTCACCCAGACACCCCAAAATTCCTAAAAAATTCCCCAAATTTCCTCCCCCCCCTCGCTGTCACCAGCAGCAATAAAGCAACACTCGGAGCCTCCGGTTTTTATTCCCGGCTGGAATTTTGGGGGAAAATCGGGAATTTTGGGGGGAAATTCGGGAATTTGGGATTTGGGGGGAATTTCCAGGGTTTTTGGGGTGCACTCCTGGGATTTTGCGGGGAATTCCTGGGATTTTTGGGGTGAATTCCTGGGATTTTTGGGAAGGATGCCCAGGATTTTTGAGATAAATTTCCAGGATTTTTGGGGTGAATTCCTGGGATTTTCGGGGTGAATTCCCAGGACTTCTGGAGAAAATTCCTGGGATTTTTTGGGGAAAATTCCTGGGATTTTTTGGGGGGAAATTCCCAAGATTTTTTGGGGAGGAATTCCCCAGATTTTTTGGGCAGGATTCCCGGGATTTTTGGGGAAAATTCCTGTATTTTTGGGAGGAATTTCTGGGATTTTTAAGATGAATTCCTGGCATTTTTCGGGGGAATTCCCAGGAGTTTTGGGCCAAATTCCCGGGATTTTTGGGGGTGAATTCCCAGGATTCTGGGGGAGGATTCCCTGGATTTTTGGGGTGAATTCCTGGGATTTTTGGAATGAATTTCTGGGATTTTTGGGTGGAATTCCCAGGATTTTTTGGGGCAGAATTCCCAGGATTTTTGGGGTGAATTCCTGCGATTTTTGGGGCAGAATTTCCAGGGTTTTTGGAATGAATTCCTGGGATTTTGGGGAGGAATCCCAGGATTTTTTGGGGTGAATTCCTGGGATTTTTGGGGTGAATTCCTGGGAT